GTAAGTTAGGTCATTCATATCAATTTGATTAATATAAAAATTAAAGTGAAGATCCTCATTTATTTGGGTAAAATAAACCAGAAATAAAGGAATGTGAAATTTATTAAATATCATTTATTTGATATTCATTCTTTACATTTTATTAAACATTCATGCTAATAATCATATACAATTAAAATTAACCAATTCAAATTTTTATTTCTAGTAATGGTGATAAAAATAATTTAATAGCACATTCAAACTAACCATTGTAAATCATTAAATTTTCTCATTTATACAATTATTATTTTAACACTCAAAATCTATGAAATCTTAATAAATTATCATAATTTAATTCAAATTGGAAAAATAAAATTTATAAAAATTTAACTTACTATTCAAACCTTTCCTAAAATATTTTTTTTGGAATGTCTTGATGGTTTATGATCATAAAGGTAAGAGACAAAATGGTAAATAAGTGAAACAATCATTAATTGAACTTGATGGGTTTTTGAATGAAATTAATTCCTGCAGGAATTTATTATTTGATGACCAAAAATCGTAATAATTAAGAAAAATGGAATGCATATAAAAATGTAAGAAAAAGAACTCTTCATAAAAAATACTAAATTTTTTCGAGACACCTTTTGTTATTCTTTAAGTCATCCAATAGAAGATTGAGTAAACAATAATGGAATCTGACTGAAATTTAATGAGATAATAACTTATGGTATCTTGCTGTTCGGTGATACAAGAAATTGAACTTTGAGTTTTTTTTCATGAGATGTGAAGCACAAAAAAAAAGGAGTATTTAGATTTAAAACTCGTTTGTTTTATTAGTTAGTAAGTATTTACAAATTTTCTTTGTATAAATAATTTCGATTCTGTATAATCAACGCGCTTTAATATATAAAACTTGTGTTTGTCGAATCCAAATATTTGTGAACTTTTATTTATTTTAACAATTACAAATTTAAAGAAAAGCAATTTTTATGTCAATGAAACTTGAATTAACAAAACGTATCATTAAAGGAAATCCTATCGAATTCTGGAATCAGCGAGGAGCTAATACTAAATCCACAAAATGATGATTAATCAGAAAAAGTACTGTCATCAAGAAGAGGAGTGAAGTTGTAGCAGAGTTGAGAGACATTTAGAATATAGAGAGTTACTTAATGACTTTATGCGCAAAACTCCCTTAAAGGGCGATGAGAGAATGGATCTGATACCTCTCTTTATTTTTAGAAGAGTCTTGAAGAATTTCTAAGAGACTATGGATGTGGTAACCTTACTTGGGAATATATATAAATAACGGAGGAGCCTACTAAACTCCATTAAGGACTAAGGAGAACTAAATTAATGAACAAGATCAAGAAGGAAATTAATCAAGCGAGTAAATTTTATTTTAGTAGCTGACGGCCAAGAAGATACTATTGATGATGAATAGAAAGGATTCTCATAAGTAGTGGATGCAATTTATGTTTCATCAGATATATTGATCCATCATGATTGTGTTAATGAGAATAGCAAAAGTTGAAGGAAATGTATACTTTAAATGACTAAATATGATAGATGGAATTAAATGATGATGAAAAAGTTTATGAAAGGAACGAACTAACTATTGCTATTGATACTGCATCCTCTGCATATCCAGGATTTAAACATCGTCTATTAATCTCTTGATCTGAAATATCTTTGAGGAGTTTTTCAATATACTCTTTATATCATCCTTATATTCAAGCACCAAATGTACAAATATAAATCAATATAATAAAATAAAATAATATTTGAACTGAATGTAAAAAATTATGCTTCCATTTTTTCTTACTTCCTTTTGTGATTAAATCAGATACTAACGAAAACTATTAGATTCATTTTTTCTTAGAGTGTTAATATGAGTTAATAGGTAAAATAACCCTATATAATAATTCATGAACGAACTAAATACAAATTCATTATTACTTATTTTTGGAAAGGTTCAATTAAGATTTTTCAATCCTTTAATGTTTCGTACTATAGGTACCACTCCTAAAATTAGTTTTTTATCATATCACCTTTGAGGGTAATATTTTTATGGTTAAGTTCAAATTTGAATATCTATGTCCTTAGAGAGAGAAAAAGGTTCTGCCTAAACAATATGTAATTGAGAAGATTCTAGAAACAGCAATCTCATCATAATCAATCTTACTCTATTTTAATTATCATCCCTCAGTGTTTATTTAATAATTTCAAAGTTCCAATTATTTAATCTTTATTATCACCTTAAAGAATGAAAATATCATTCTTCCCTTGAAATAAATGTTTTGGTAATGAATTTAATGTTTTTTCAGCTCCTAAGTCATGTATTACTAAACTGTATACATAAATTATATTCCCTTTCAACATTAAGATTTATAAGTAAAATCACTATTATTGATATAAATCAAAAATGCCCATAAATTTCTGAATTACAAAAGAATATGTGAGACCATTTACAGATGAATGATGTGGATAAGAGATAAAAATCAGTTAAATCTAATAATAATTTGGTTACACTTTTAGTTTCAAAGTTAACATAATTTATTCTAAATATGGCTAGAATTGTGCTCTATTATCTCAGTTTGCAGTTTTTTTAGAAGATAATTTATTTTTCAATTTATTTGTTAGAAATGTATGTATTTAGCAAACTTTATCTAGAAGGAGCAACTAAATTTTTTTATTGTTTCGGCATAACTTTATAATTACATGTCCAAGAAGCATGAAAAGAGGCCCTCGCTAGGCTATCCGACAAAAAGCCATATTACTAAGTTTTTAAATAAATTCAGGAGGCTGACTGCAAATTCAAAGGAGAATAGTCCCAATTCTTCCTAGATATGGGATTCATAAAGAGGAGGTTGGTTGAATGCTGAAGAATAGAAACGAAAAGAATGAACCTAGGAATAATTGGAATCCTTAGAATAGAAATAACATCATCCAGGATTTCGAAAGCATTTAATTATAGGCTCTTCTCTCGTTACTCTCAACCAGATAATTGAAATCATTCGCTGGGTTATCAAAAACAATTTTCTATCTTTTAATTTGAGAATAATTTTAGATTCAATCAGAATTATCAAATTGCACAATTAGGATATAAAAGAGTAATAGAACAGGTTTATATTTATTACATAAATTCCTTTGAGTGGAATAATAATATATGA